AGAAAGGGTTATTTATAGGTTCAAGCGATGGCGGTTCAGTATCAGCGGTGGCCGACCACCGCCCGACATGCGTTAAATGCCTTGAAAGACTAAACCGACAGGACCGCTACCAGATGCGTCATGGTCGAACCCGATGGAAACGTCAGGTTATAATCCGATCGAGCCGTTAAAAAATCATATCATTTCTCGCCACATTCTTTCTGAGAAATGAGGGGACTATCTGTATACGGTCGAAATAGATTTCGGCCTTAGCACGTCCGATCGAGTTCGAACGATGATCTATCGAAGTAAGATCCCGAAGGTGGAACAAACTAACCTCGAACCCGGGGAGGCCGATCCGTGTCGAGTTCTATATCATTATCAAGCTCGAATCGAAATCAAACCATAATGCAAAGTAGATCTATCATGCTGATAATCCAGAGACCAACCAACATTGACCTCGAATCAATTCGAGGGCTCGAGCGGGATCAGGCTCAAACCAAGATCAAGATCTCAAGTCGAAATCAAGCTCAAACCAAAATCGAGGGTTCTAAGCAAGATCGAGCTCGCAGACAAAAGCCGTTGCAATCCCACTAGAGAGAATCTTGGCAGAAATTGCGGAAAAGCTGACTTATTATAGGTATCCCACTAAATATTTATTTTATTATGCTTAGAGCCAAATTCCTCCACTATAAAAGGACTTGGCTACCATTTCTGTAAAATAAGTTTTTCTCAGGCTTACATTGTAATAAAAACGCTATATTCTTCTACAGTAAAGAATCGTTCTTTCGGATTTCTTAAATTGATTCTATTTGTTGAATCCTAAGATTCATTGTTCCTGACAACCTTATCTATTTCGCGTTCTCTGCAATCTATATTTACATTTCTGTTTATCCTTACATTTTGTGTTAAGTTATGCCACATATCCTCGAAACTGCATATAAATTCAACTCTCTCTATTTTTCGGGTAAACAACAATAATAATAAGTATCAAGCATATGGCCATCGTTCACATTAACACTAATATGCACAACGAGTGTTTGACCAAAAGGAAACTTATCACCTGGGACCAAGCTAGCAAAAAGATTCATAATCAGAGGTGCAAATTATATGGGTTCGTCGGTATTTCGTTGAGGATTTTTAGCAAACACATGGTCCTCCCCGACTCGTTTAGTTTCCAATTTAGATTGCATCCTAGAGGTAAGAGTTGTTGCATCCGAAAGTGTCTCAGATTCAACAAACAAACCCTCAAAGAAAGTAAATGGTTGAATGCCACTGGGTACAAAATGATCATGCCCAACAAGAGTAGCAAGGAGTGCTTCATCATTTGCACAATGAAAAGGCAAATTAGGTGCATCACTCTGAGGAAATTCGTCAAACACCTTGTCTTCGACTGGTGCGCACTTATCTCCACCAGTAAAACTAGAGTTGGGATCATGTATATCGAGGACTGGAAGGCTTGTGAATAAGCCTAAAGAGGATGGAGGATGAATTTTGGAGTTTGCTACTGTAACCGAAGACCTAGCAGCCATTGTATTAGGGAAAACTCCAGTAGACATTACGACAATTGCTTGTTCCGTCTTGTCGGCTGGTCCAGAAGCAGATTCAAGCTCGTAGAAATTTGAATTACGTTGCAGATCAGCAAAGGTCCATTTCTGAAAATGCACAAGAAACTTCTCCTTGAAATGGTTCCAATCATAGAATTGTTTAGTGCGAAATAGAAAATCAAACCAAGCGAGGGCATCGCCATCTAGGTAGAAAGACGAAAGAGGCAGCCAATCCTTCTTGGAGAAGCCAAGGTATGTGAAATACAGCTCGGCTCGAAAAAGCCAACTCTCTGGGTTTCCATCGCCACTGAATCGAGGTAGAAACATAGTCGTTGTTGGAGTCCGTGCGATGAAAGCACCAATGTAAATAACTCAAATCCAAAGTAACAGTAACTAAACCTCTCTACTCTATTAATAAGACTGAAATATGATTACAACTCAAATATCAAAATGCTAACAACTTAGTAGCCGAATTACAATAGAAATTGTAGGAAGTAAAGCAACTAGGGATAGATAGAAGAAGGGAATGAGAAGGTTAGATTCAGAGAATGGGAGATAAGGAGAAGCAGACACTTTTCTTAACAATAGGCATAATCCCAAAATTACCGACCTGTCCTCCTTTTTACAGAACCATTCTTGCATCATATACTCAACCTGGATCCCAACTTAACCTGACCCTATTACTTGTTCTCGGCCCAAAAGCTCTTGTCAGCCCAATAGCTACTTGTGTGACATTGGGCTGGAGCTGGTTCATAACAGATCATCCTGGCAAGTCAGGAATACATGATGAATTTGTAACTTGTAGTACTTTTATGTAATTTCTAAATACGTAAATTATTTTTCAAAAAACTTAAAGATTAGATGTCTAAATTCACGGTCAAAATAAAAATGTTCGACTCTCGAAATTGAAATTGTGCCACATAGGAGTACCTAACTCATGGATTATGAAGACCATATGATAATTACATTTTGGAAGTGTATGTTATGAAATACCATCAGAATTTGTAGTTTTGACCTTTTGAGTTAGATTGTCAGTATCGTCTAAAATACTTTGATTAAGAGGTTAAAAGTGGACCTGCGTTTCGTTATGACTTGTGAAAAACTTGACAGACCTTAGAATAAGTTCAAACCACAATATTAAGCTTGCGATGAGTACGTTGAAGTATGTAATTTTTCCAGTTTGCTAATTTATATACGTTAGTTATACCTCCTAATTAATCAACTTTTATTATTTCATGGATATTCAAAATTTTGAATTGGGATGTGTGTCTGAGTTGATAGAGAGAGTAATATGATAAGGAAACCCATATGTAGTAGGTATACATTCCGGAGGACTAAGTAGGGGTTTGGACATAAATAGGGAGAAAAAATAAAAAATAGTCAGATTTATAACTGGTAATTGAAAAATAGTCACAATTTCAAAAGTAATCGAAATTTAGTCACTTTTTCATGTAAAGATAAAATTTGAACAAAAGTATCCTTAAAAATCCGGAAAAATTTCAGGGAGTTCAAATTTTTTACATATGAGATTCCAGCATAATGTGTAAGAATTTCATAATGTGTTGTAGTTCCAACATAATATGCTGGAATTTTATACGCATGAGCTCCATAATCCAGCATATTATGCTGAAACTTTCCATGTGCTGGAGTTCCAACATAATATGCTGGAAGTTTATATGCATGAACTCCATAATTCAACATATTATGCTGGAACTTTCCGTGTTTCAGTAAAATAGTGACTATTTTTCGATTACCAGTCTGAAAATTGGCTAACCCGTGCTACTTTCACACATAAACGATGTGAGATTTGAAAAAAGTAGTTTTGAAGTTTAAGTTGGAAAAAAATATTTGAAAATTAAAATTATATTTGGAAATGTATTTCACTTGAAAAAGTATTGCAGTTTTATGATAAAAAATATTATTTAATTGAAAAAGAGGTAAAAATTACTTTTTTAAATTTGAAAATCATCTTCGAAAAATTCAGTTAAGTGTATAATCAATATTTTTTGGAAAAAAGGGAGGAAAAAAAAAAGATTATGTCCAAACGGCTCCTAAAAGTCCATAATGTTGGGACATTAATTTTTACGTCAGTCTGAAATGGAGAAGTCAACAAATATGCCACGTGAAGAGATTTTGCATTTATTTTTGGCAGAAAGGAAATAATAAGCACTGGTGGCAATTTATGAAAAATGGTCATTTTCTTTTTCCCTTTAAATTTTTCCCACAATTTTGAGTTGTTGCCTTAATTAATATTGCATGCTTATTGACAAACTTGTCAATCCTCTATTGTTCTATGAATCTTCTGTTTTTATGGATTTATCCCCCACATTTCTGACCCCAACCTGTAGCTTTGTTCATACTTTTGAGTTTTGACCAAATCATATGGTCCTTTATTATGGTTAATCTCTCTCTCTCCATTTTTCTTTGGGGAGCATTATCATAACTGGTAAAGTTGTTGTTATGTGTCCAGGAAGTCACGGGTTCAAGTCGTGGAAATAACCTCTTGCAGAAATGTAGGGTAAAGCTGCATACAATAGACCATTGTGGTCTGACCCTTCCCCGGATCTCGCACATGGCAGAAGCTTAGTGCTCGGGGCTGTCCTTTAATAACTAGTATGCGAATATCAAACACCGGGTGGAAAATAAAAAACAAGAACATTTAATCCTAAATTCTTTATTATTATTATTATTTTGCATTAAAAGAAATTTTAACTTCTTGTTGCATTACCTAAATACTGGGAAAATTCTTATTCTGATATAGCTCAAGCAAACCATGTTCATTTACTACTGTTAAATGATAAAAATGAGGAAGCTAAGTTTGTGTCACATTCAGACTTAAGAGAAATGCAATTCCTGCCTTTACTTTTCTTTTAGCTTATCCATCATAAAAAGAAGGCAACAATAAACAACAACTGCATCCCAGTCCCCGAACAAATTGATGTGGCGATATGAATCCTCACTTGCCTCATTCCCAAACAAGTTGACCTCAGTGATATGAATCCTTCTTTCATTAAGCTCAGCTCATATCATAAAAAAGAAGCACAGCTCATATCATAAAAAAGAAGGCACGGAATGAAAAGAAAAATTATCAAGACCAAAAGGTTAGAACCAATTCATACATCCAAAAGCCTAGTAAATTTTAGGGGAAGACTACTCGATGGAATAGCACCAAAAGAGTTCATGTCATTTGATTAGCCCTCATCCTTTGAAGCAACATTCTACATATTCTTAATCAAATCTTGGATTTTACTGTACATCATCTGGGAAGGGTCACTTCCTCCAGCACTGCTCTGCGACGTTCGTGAACTTTCCTGAAGCTTTATCTTCTCAAATAAATACTGCTTCTCTGCTTCAGCCTCGCTTAATCGTTGTTTCAAATACCTGCTAGCGTAGTCCTCTTCTGACTTCTCTGTCTTGGCGAGTGCAATTCGTTGCAGTCTCTCAGCTTCTCGTCTAGCTTCACCGGCCTTTAGGTCAAACATATCGGCTTCTGCCTGTTTAAGCCTTACGATGCTTTCAAGCTCATCGATTTGTTGCTTCTTCCTCTGCCTCTCCATTTTTAGTGCGGTCACTTCCCGAGCTTTATCCTTGAGCTCCTGATCACATGCATCAAGAGCTAACCGTGCTTTCTTAACCATCCGCATCTTCTCCTCTGCTACTGCTTCCATTTTTCTGATGGCTTCTTGTACTACATCTGCAATCTTGTTAAATGCTTCTTGTGGAGCTATGAGCCGACCACCTTCGTCATTGTCTTGACTCTTCGAAGGATCCACATCAAGCTCTGTAAAAGTGATAAAAACATTTCAAGACGAAAACTAAAACTTATTGATGTACTTGAGAGTCTTGATTTTTCCATTATGAAAGACGCTATAAACCTTACATTAGGCCCAAAATTTACCCAACTCCAATCAGTCATATAAATCAAGTAATGCCAGAATAAATAGTTGATAAAAATATAAGTACTCTCAGTTGAATTCTCAAACTCAATGCCGGAAAAAAAAAAAACGTGGGCAAACCAAAATCAGTAAAATAGAAAAGCAAATGATATTCCAATTTATGTTTCAATCTGTGTTAATCACACGAGGATTCTCTTTCATAATCCTAAGGACCTTCTCCCCTTCTCTTGAAATTACGGATCAACCCTTTAGTTGAATAAATCACCTTCCTTTGTCAATTAACTCTAATTTTAAATGATGTCAACAATTAGCTTTTCAAAGTAACAAACTACCATTATCGTAGTTCTTATATCTCACATCAAATTCATTTCTAGTTTCCTTTGAACATGTAGTTCGCTACAAACGATCAATTTACAGAGACATAATAGCTCATTAAGAATTAAGAATGATATAATAACAAATAAAAGACGAAGACATGGAATCACATACTGAATCTCACTTATTCTATTTGTCAACAAAAACCAAATTTACTTTAGTATGTTTTTTCTCTAAAAGGAAAGAACAAAAACCTACTAGGAAAGCATCCAAGGGGAGAAGAAAATTACTTTAACAGTACATTAGCAACAAATCATAATACTTGGAAAAAAGAATAAAAATTCCAGAGAACATGTATTCTCAAATGTCAAAATCGCATCCCAGAAGGCTCGGACTACCGGCCAGAGGTCAACAGAGATGGCAATTGTTAGAAAAATGGATTAGTATCTCAAAAAGGAAGAGTCTCTTATTGGTTAAGAAAATCAAGATTCATTAGTGTGAAGAAGAAGTCCAGATAACATTCCAAATTCATCCTCTTGGAATTAGTTTGCCTTTATTTCACATAATGGGTCATTATTCCAAATTACTAACTGTTGGACCATTATGGCAATTGTTCCTCCATTATAACATTCTGATTTTTCCTCACCTATATATACACATAACCTTTCCTTTTATAAAGACACTGAAAATAGAAAAACTTTAATTCCTTTCTGTTGATCTGCTAGGTTTTCTCTATTTAATCTTTATTGTTTCTGCTCTTGTGGAAAAAACACGGAAATTATTTAACCTTGAGGCATGTCAAGGACATTATCCGGATATTTTGCAAGAGCAGGCGTATCCCCCAGGTTTCGACAAGCTCCTCTAGCATAATTGTAATAAAGGCCCAACGGTTAGGATTCCGAAATAAAGAATCCTTTATATGAACTTAAGACACACTAAATTCAAGAGGATGAAAATAGACATTTTCTGGTAAGTATAGACATTTTCTTAACACTAAATTTCAAGAAAATGAATCTAGAGATTTTCTTAACCAATAAGAGACTCTTCCCTTTTGAGATACTATTCACATTTTCCTAACAATTTCCCACATATCTCAAAAGAGATACTAAAGAAAAAAGTAAAAATAATTATTTGTTGGGTTTTCCACAATCGACCATAATGCGTCGAATTTGGTGTCTTGTGGACTATGAACCATATCTAGATAAAAAAAGATTTAACTTACAGAATAATTGGTGAAGTCTTGAACTTCTATGAACCAAGAATTCTTGTTGCACGTTAGGTGCCTTATCTATTACACTATACACCCCACAAACTTTGTTGTTTACTGCGGTTTTGTTGCTAATACGCCATGCGCACGCCTGGTTATTCATGAATGCTCTAGAATTTTTTTTTTCACAAATTTCATAGGAATAACCCTCACTCCACACTTCTAGGTCCATCCATGAAGTGTATTCTGTAGTGCAATACACCACCTATAAAGAATATGGATTGGAGTAAGAGTTTAATAACTCAATCTCACTTTCCTTGCAATCTTGCACTATACAGACCATAGGAGAGACAAATTTAATAGTGCATAATAGAAAAAAAAATGCTAGATAAAAAAAATGCTATTACCCATATGAACCTAATGCATGGGATTGCCAATCACATAGGTTTGGAAAGTCCCATACCCCCTCAATGATTCACTTATCAATTTTCTTCCCAAGGGTTTTAGCCAGAGGATCGACCAAATTCACTTCTGACTTCACATAGTTTATGGAAATAATTCCATCTCTAAGTAGCTACTCTATCAAATTGTGTCTTCGTATTTGGTAAATTCTTTTGACTTCTCCAGATTATGCCAGATTCAAATTATAATCTGGTTATAACTCGAACTTGAATGAGTTTGGTTGTGATCTAGGAACTATTCTATATCCACCGGATTGAAACATAAAAGGACTATTTTTCCCCTTGTACATATAACGGGAAATTGGTGAACATGTTTCTCCTTCTCTTTTCTTCTTTCCCTCTCCCCAGACTAGCCAATCTCTACCCGACCATCAATTGCATGGATACATGAAGAACTAAGTTCCAGGCCAAATCTTTCAATATTTTGTCCTTAAATGCTAATTCGTTTATGCCTTTAGCTTTCACCACCAAATTCTTTGTTGCAAGCAACTCCTCTCCTTTCGGCATAACTACTTTCTTCTATCTACATCTACTGCTAAGTTCCACAGTCCATCTTTCAATTTATTTTCCTTAAATGCTAATTGCTACGCCTTTTAGTGTTCATCTCCCTATTCTTTGTTGCATGCATCTCTTCTCCTTTCACTCCGTTATTCCGCTTAGCTAAGGCCATCAGCCTATGCAAATTGGTTGGGACTTTTAAAAAAAAATTATGGGGAAGAAAGAAAAATTAAGGAACCCGCAAATATTGGAATACAATTATTGTTAACTAAAGAAAGAAAGAATTGGATGGCTTGAGAAGTAATTTTGCCGATAGATAAGCAAATGAATAATGAAGTTTGGCAAGAGCGTATTGGTCTTAAACGCTTAATATTAAATTAGATGATTGGTTATTTATCAAATAGATAAATCTTCTTAACAAATATTGCATGAGCTTTTCGGTCAAGTAAATGATCCTACCAGAGGAATACGAACCCCTTTAGCCCACCTAGCGTACCAAAGAACTCTAACTATATATCAAAGAAGCAAAAGAACAAAGGGCCAGTAATCAATTTATTTGTTAACCTGCTGCATGTGGCTTCTTGTTGGATGTATCAAGCTTTCATTTCAACCTTTTCTCAGTAAGAATGCCCCAGAACAATCAATCAATTAACAATGATCTGAAAATAAATAAGAAAACCTTGGAAATGAGGCTTACCTTGGAAAAAGGATAAGATCACTTTACAAGCCATAGGGTCTGCAACTCCACCTTTCAGCTTTTCGATGAGTTCCTCGCATTTCCAAAATAACTTACGGCCTCTCGCGTCCTCACTTCTCTGGAAAATTCTTCTGACATAGTCAAGCTCTCTAACAAAAGCTTCCGCATCCCAACTTGGGGCACAGTGTTGGAACACATCTTTAACCCAACCTAACAACTCAGATGTCCTACTGCAAGCATGGCATCTGAAGAGCGTCTCAGCTGAGCTAGCTCCATTCTTAACAGACGGGCCTGTTCCAATTTGTCCATTGCTAATGGCACAATCCGTGTGTGTCCAATGAGAACAGAGATCACAACCGATCCATCTGCAAGTGTTCACCTCAAAATCAAACTTGTTACAGATCACACACATGCAAAGGTTGCAGAAACCATTTTTCTTCGCACAAATTTTGCAGCTACATTCCTCTGCCGGAAGCACACTACCACATGCTATGTTTCTGCACCTCTTATACAAGAAAATGTCAATGAGCGAAGCTTGAGAGAGACTAACACTAGGATGCAAGAATGCCTGAATTCCAGTCTTGATGGCAACTAGAATTTCTAGCTGGGTGCGGTGTGTAATAATCAGGGTTCCATCCGTCAAATCACCCCTACTATTCACTAGCCTTTGAAGGAATAGAAACTCCTCTCTGTGCTGAGAACCACCTAATCCTTCAAGAATGACCCGAAGTTCATGTTTGAACTTCTCTAGATACTCATCTGGGAGATTTCGCATCCTTTCAGCTATAACGTCAACTCTTTCTCGGGCAATGTCACGAAGGGACATTTTGTCGGAGTTTGAAATATTGCGGACAACAGAGTGCTCAGCGTAGCCATTCTCTTTCTCCTTCTCCAGCTTTTTCGCCATCAAAGCGTCAGATGTTGGCCAAGTTTCACGTGAACTGGCACTTTCAGATGGTGAATCACGAGCCTGATCAGAGGTCGAGCCACGTTCTTGAGGATTAGGAGAACCGCAAGCATCAGGAGAGACCAAGGATAAAGATGTCTGAAGTCCACCAGGCCGTGGTTGTTGGCGTGGAGGCAGCATTTTTCCGATACGCTGGTGATGAAAATGAGCCACAAAAGGTTCGTATCAGCAAATGTTCAGAAATGTGCTAAATGGAAAACAAACAAACCAATGTTTGTCCAGTATGCTTCACAAACGTTTTCACATCCAAAATAAAAATTTGGACTCACTTGACAAGTCATTCCTTTGAAAGAAACAAAAAACACATAAAAATTCACAAGATAGATTACCTCATCTTTTCTAAACATAAAAACATATTCAATAAAAAGTATCCAAAATTACAGTCCGTAAACAGCGGAAAAAAATAGAACATCATATCTTGTCAAGCACCAACAAGTATATCCTACAAATGATATCTTCTGCAACCAAAACTACCAAACTTAGCTAACATTTACTTTTTTCAGATTCCTCTACTGCTTTCAAAGTACCTTCTCTAATTCCATTACTCTAAAAAAGACTTTTTTATTAGAACTTGATTAGATGTAAGCATTTCAGCATCCTAGCAAACTTACAGCAGCATGCAAAAGCTGCCATAAATTCTACTAACAAACACTTAAATTACAAAAACAAACCAATTGGACAAGAATCAACAAGAAATTACTAACTTTAGGCCAAACCCTAAGAACAATTATCCAAAAATTAATAATATTTTCACATGTATACATTCAACAACAGGGAAAATAGAGCAAATAGAGGACACCTGCTAAATTTACATCAAACACTAACAAAAGTTACTAACTTTATATCAAACATTAAGAAAGGCAGCCTGGTGCACAAAGTAACCCGCTTTCACATAGGATCCGGGGAAGGGCCGCACCGGGATGTAATGTACACAGCCTACCCTGAGCATCAGTGGCTTATTCCACAGCTCGAATTCTTGACCTATAGGTCACACGGAGACAACTTTACCGTTGCTACAAGGCTTCCCTTCGTATTAAACACTAAGAAAATCACCCAAAAATTACTTTCACATTAGTACCTTACAGAACAGGGCAAAATTAGGATACCTGCTAATAATATGTCAAAACACTAACATAAGTTACTAACTTTATACCAAATACCAAGAAAATCACCCATAAATTAATAATATTTTCACATTTATACCTTTAAAAACCGGGCAAATAGAAGACAACACAAACAAAGTTTACTACTAACTTTATATCAAACACTAAGAAAATCACCTCAAAATGAATAGCAATATATCAAAACACTAACAAAAGTTACTAACTTTATATCAAACACTAAAAAAATCACCCACAAAACTAGAAGAATCATATTTTCACATTAAAATAGGGGAAATAAATTATATCTGCTACTAAAATGCACAAAAATAAGCAACTGCCAGTAGATCAAACAAAAACTAAAAACACCCAGATTCTTAATCCCCACAAAATAGAAAACCACATGCACATATAAAATAAAGAAAACTAAGATCTGGGGTTAGTAGAATGAAATTACCCACCTGAAATTCCTAAATTGATTAATAAAATTACCACAGCAGTTAAATCAATAAACCAGAAAAATTGGGGCTTGGAAAGAAAAAAGAACAAGGATGAATACAAATAAATTTGAAAAAAACGGGCTCTCAAATTTTCTTCCCTTCAGAAAAAGAAAGGTAGAGAATTGTTTTTTTTCTTCTGATGTTTACGTTGAAGAGGAAAAGTGAAGAAAAATGGGGCTGACCGAACTGGCAAGTAGACGGTGGTCGGATGACTTGGATTATCAGTATCTAATTTTTTGGGACCCACATTTTGTTCCTACTCCGCGTCTTTGACTTTCTGTTTACCTCTGTTTTTCTTTAAATAAAAACAAATATATTCCCTTCGTTTCAACTTATAAGACTTAGGGCCAGTTTGGCAATAAAATATTTTTATATTTTTTCGAAAAGATTTTTCACCTTATTTCCAAATCATTATTTGGCCATAAAAATTTTAAATTTCACTTAAAACTGAATTTCAGAATTTTTTGGAATTTAAAAAAAGTCCAAAAAACTATTTTCCAAAATTTTTACTTCAAAGAACTCACAAAAATTCAAAAATAGCTCCAAATTATATTCACGTCCAAACACAACTCTAATTTTTAAATATTATTTCAACTTGGAAAAATACTTTACTTTTTTCTGAAATTTCACAATTCTTATGTCCAAACGCTCACTTAGTTTAACGAGGCAGACGTTTAAAAAAGAAAAAAATCTTAAAATTTTTTATTAAATATATCATATATTTAATATTATAAATTTTTTTAAAACTTGTAATCTTAGATATATTATAATTTTTGTGTGATTATAAAAAAAATACCATTAAGGGTAAAATAAACAAGTTCAAGTTAACTTTTTTCAAATTTAGAAAGATATCATTCCTTATATGAGTTGATTCCGAATACTGGTCAATTTGTTTTCTTTTGTAAATTTAGGCATAAATTATTTAGTATTTTAAAAATAAACTCTATATATTTAAAAACAAAATGAAAGATAGTACCACTTATGTAGTTAATGTTTAAAATATTTAAAAAGCGTTTAATAAAACCATAGTAAAAAATTTGTTTGATTCACCAAAATAGTAATACTTTCACATAGAAGGGAACGAAGGGTATATATATACACATATAAGAGTTTTACTAACCTATAAGATTATAGTAGATTAACATTATATTTATTTTTTAATTCTCCAAAATATCAAGATTAGTTTCTTGTTTGTTTTTAACCAAAAGCCTTTACTGTTCATTTCCAGATCTCTAAAGCATCGTTGTCCACTCCTTGTTTTCTCCTTCCATTGTTTCTTTCCTAAAATGCATTTTCATTCCAATTTTGCAAATATTCTCTGATAATTAGTCAGTTTTATGTGAGTATTAATAGTTGTAAAGATTTTGAAAATTTTACGTAATTCGATATGCCGACAAGCAGAGGCGGATCCAGGATTTAAATTCTATGGGTTCAATTTTTATGATTTTTAACATTGAACCCATTATATATTTAAAGTTATGGGTTCAAATCTATTATTTTTGCAATTTTAATGAATTTTTACACATAAAATTCTACTCCGCGTCGAAAGTTATGGGTTCAATTGAACCCGTAACTCTCACACTGGATCCGCCTATGCCGACAAGGAAAGTGTTTACTTGAAAAATCAAGAAAAAATCAGTAGTTCTTTTAGCAGTTGTTTATTGCTTGTTTCTCTCCTTTACAATTATCACTACAAAAAAGGAGAAAAAAGAAGAAGCTAAAATTAGTTAGGAATTTCGTTGCTAATTTGTCGCGTTAAATCGCATGTTGCTAACAAAAATTTTTGATAATCTATCGTTAATTAGTTGCCAAATAGAATTAGCGACGAGTTATTTTGTTTAGCTACAGAATTTATCTGTCGTTAATTCATGTTTTTGTAATAGTGTATGCTTTGCATCAAGATAGTTAATTAAAAGGAAAAATATACTACAATCCAATCGGATCAACAAACAAAGAGTGTTTAAGAATTCTAAACTCGTACCTCCATTGATGTTAGTCGATGGTGGAAGAAGGAAAGAGATCGCTAAAAGAAATTTGGAGGATTGAAGTAATGTAAGATACGAAGACGAAATCTTGTATGCTAATTCTCGACCCAAAGTCCTTACAAGTAAAGAATGGATGATATCGCTTTCCTCTAAGAACGAAATATAGAGATAAATAATGCCGAATTTAGTCAAAAGACAAATAGGTTCATATCTTTAATGCGTTACAAGGGCATTTTAAGAAAACTAAAGATATAAATAAAAACTTAGTTACAATAAGGCGGAATTTGACATGCTTATGATCATCATACGTGTCAATCAGATGGGGCTTAAATGGAATTTTGAGCTAGTTATATTATAAATGTCGTCCTTCCACTCTTAAAAAAATACGAATTAGCGACAGATAAATTTTGTAGCTAAACAAAAAAAAATCAGCGCTAATTTTATTTAGCGACTGATTAGCGATGAATTATCGAAAAATTATGTTAGCAACAAGTAATTTAACGATAAATTAGTGATAAAATTCGTAGCTAATTCCAATCTTTTTTTATAGTGTTCTTTCTTATCATGATGCACATATCATTGAATTGACCAAAATTTTTGAATTCGTTAAATTAATTTCTTTGGGCATTTCAGACCCTTTATAAGTTAGTTCAAGTGTATTTTTCTTTGGTAGTCTTTCCCTATAATTCAAATGGAAAAACAACACTGTATAACTGCTTTCAAAATAATAGCCGAATTATATACAAAAATTAAGGGTGTACAAAGAAAACCGATAAATCGCATCAACCCAATAATCCGAGTCAAACCGAGAAAAAAAATTCGATTGTAGTTTGGTTTGATTTGATTTGGTGTTGGAAAAAAAAAACTTACCATAATTGGTTTGGTTTGATTTAATTAAAAAAAGTCAAACCAAAACCAAACCAACCCGACATTATATTTATACAATTTTAAAAAATATTTTATGCATATAAATATTTGTTGTAATATAATTTATAAATATTTCTTAAACTTGTTCACAGTTTTATCTTTAAAAGTATTATTTAAAGTTTGGACTTAACATTCTTGAATAGTCCAATAAATTTTATAGCCCATAAAAATAGTAAGTCAAGTAAAGTTCAAATCAATACCAATGCTAATAAAGAAAATTCAATTCAACACTAGGAATGACAATAGTATTGGATATCTATTTTTAGTTTTGCATTGATTTATAATGAAAATGTATAACTTAGTAAATCTTCTTTTTTTTTATGCCTAGTTGTGTAATTAATAGTACTTTTTAGTTATACTTATTTTAGCATGACCTAGATAGTATTTTTAGATTATGTTAATTTTTATTATGGTGTATTAATTACTAATATTTTCTTTGTGCGATTTTATTATTTATGTTATTGAATATTTTAGTACAATGTTATGACCCATCTCATATTATTATTTTATTTTCTTGGAAAATATATTATATAGTTATATTCTACTAGGACTAAAATAAATATTTGGAGCACAATTTACATATTTTGTGCTATAAAGACTTTACCGGAAAAAAACTCAAAAACCCGAAAAAACCGAAAAAATCAAGAAAAACTGAGATTGAAAAACCCAATTTTATTGGTTTGGTTTGGTTTATGAAAAATCCGAACCAACCCGACCTATGTACACCCCTAACAAAAATTATACAAATTTTATACACTTTTTTGGCTATCGAATATAAATAGTTTTTAGCGTGGGCTAAAAATGATAATACCCCAATTCAAATCATGTATTGTTCATTAAAGTCAGGAGCTATTTACGTCAATCAGTTTAGAATGGAGCAATCCTATTGGCTGGAAAAAAAGAATGGTAGCTCCTTTGAAAAAATGTCTTGGTCACTTGACTATTTTGCCCTTCTTCTTTGGAATAATATATTAACGACTTAACACTAATATCAGCTTTTGTATTTGCATGTAAGTAATTTATGACAAAAATATAAAATGGTTACAGTGTCATTTGGTGTGTACTTAAATAAGACTTCTCTTTTGTCTTTTTTTTCTCTCCTACTGTTACCTTAGTCAGATATGATCTGTGTATGTGTAGATTAAGTTTTATCATTACTTATCATGTTTATTTCAAATGCATTTAAGGATTTCAAAGGAGGTTATTTTTGTCAATCAGCTTAAAACGAAGAGAAGTTTTATTGGGCAAAATACAAAATTAGTCTGTCGGTCGAAACTAATTACATTTGCTAGCCAAAAAGTATATAAAATATGTATATAATATACGTTATGATTGCGAACATAATTAAGGTTAGTCTTTTTGATTTACGGGTGGCAGGCGAATGCCAAAGTCCGAATATATATAAAAAAAAATTATTGGCTATTATTTGGGAGTGATTAAAAATATACATTTTTTTAATTTTATTGGATTAAAAAGAATATATTAGTACTATAGTTTATTTGTACATGTTGCTATTTGACTATTTAACCCCTCTTCTTGGGAGTAGTTAATTGACTTAATGCTAATATCAGCATTTGTCTTTACATGTAAAGTGATTTTTAGAAAAATATCATCAAATGGTGGCAATGCCATTTGGTGTGTACATAAATGAGACTTTTTGCCTCTTTCATCGTTTTTTTCATTTTAGTTTTTGTCTGTGACCGTTGAGTAGATTAGGTTAACCATTACTTATCATGTATATATTAAATGCATTTGGATTCACTGAAATTGCTCACTTTAACAAGTTTACATCTCAAATTTTTCAATGTTTTGATTTTTTTCATAACATAAATAACTCCTAACATTGAATTTATATATGTTTCCATTGGAGTAAAAACATATTTTATTTCAATCTTTAACTACAATACTATATTATAAAGGAGGATAGTAATGACAATAAACAAAATATATAACAATGGTAAGTAAGTTAAACAAAGGAGACAAAATTTAACACGGCAAGTTTAATATAAAAATAAAATTAAAGTACAAAAGAGAATAGAAACTACTCTAAATAATTTCAAATACACCGAGAGAATAACCTCACAAAAATATGTACAAAGAAATTCACACAAATATTTTTAAATAACTCTCTCAGAAAATATTCTTTATTCCAAAATTCAAAAGAAGACACTTTAGTAATGATTCTTGCTCTCTATGAGTTGGTGTGTCTAGGAAAAGTTTTGGCTTTATATATAGGTGAAAAGGGTCGCGGGCTCA